AATCCATGGAATATTTTCTTGAGAAAGAAATATTGTGTTTTATTTACATGCAGCTTTCCATAATGTATATAAAATTATGTAATGTTCTTCATTTTATTCAGACTAGATTCACACAACACATGTGTTGTTGAATCAGTCCATTAATGTAGATTAATTGTGCTAAACCATAAAAACCTAATCAGGAGTAATACATTGTGCAAACATGACTGCTAGTTTATAAAGAGCTGGTCTGCTAATTATTCCATTAACACAAGACAATACATGGAATCTTAAACTAACCAAACTAGCATATTTGTACAATGCTCTAAGTCTAAGCCATAAAAACCTAATCAAGACTAATATATTGTGCAAACACAACTGCTAGATTGTAAGGACCAGGTTTGGTATGCAAATATAGCTCAGTATTTTGTCAATTTATATTCCTTAACTATTCCACACAGGATCTTTCTAATTAGGTTAGGTTAAGGGGGAAATCCTTTACTTGTATTCACATGATAAGAATAAAGTAGGTATTGTATTTTCATTAAAGAGATATTATACATTCCTGAAATGTAGTCATCACAAAAAAGATTTTAAAATGATGTATTATAAATAAATACCATATGATAAAAATAGCCTGCTTTGTTAGGTAAATATATTTGGAAAAGCCATGCAAATTAAGTTAATATCAGTGGAAAGAACTGTTATATTTAGATTTTAATATGTTCCCCACATATTCTACAGCTTTAATTGGAGCCTGTGATAAACATTGGTAACAGTAGTTGCATCAGCAACCATGTCCTTCAACAGGATGGAGGGGTAGTTCTAACTATTGTTAAGCTGTCTCTTTTGCATAAATGTTTGCATTTAGAAAAGGTGGCTTGTTATCTCATCATCTTGACATATTTAAATAAATTAGCATTTAAATAAATTAGTTCATCTATTTTAGACTTTAAATATCCCATAATAATTATATGTAATGACATTAGTTGCAAATGAAATTGCTCAGAATCTTGTTCAACTCGGTTCACTTTTAGCTTTCTATCCATCTTCAACAATGAAGAGACGGAAGCGATAGATAGCTTCTGCTTTTTAGGATCAATAGTAAAGGCACAAGCAGTCACAAAATATGTTTCATACCAGCATTTTGTAGAACAGCCAGGAAGACCTTGGAAAAGATGCTGTGAGATCAGAATACCGAGGCAATATTATTTTCTGTAACACTCTATGGAAGTGAAAGATAGACTTTGAAGAAGCAACATAGAAAGATTATCAATGTTTTTGAAATGTGGTATTGGCAAAGATTCCTGAGAATACCACAAATAAACAAAAACACAAGCAAATAGATTATGGAAGAAATCGACTCAGATTTTTCACTCAAAGCACAAATGCTGATGCTCAAATCAACCTACTTAGACAAATTGTGTGAAGAAGTCTGTAATGCTGGAAAAAATATAAGGTAAAGAGAAGGTAGATGGACTCAGTTGCAATGAATTACAGCTTTAATGAAGGCCAACCTGGCATTAAGTAGCAACAGCCCCATCCCTTTGGATATTCTGAAAGGGTTTCGAGACCTGGTTGTGTGATTGGACCTGGTAAACCAGTGGAACCAAAGACTTGGCTAGATGACTCCACTGTTGAGGGGGGCATTTTTTATTCACTTGGATTGTATTTTGGGTTATTTTGGGGTTTGGGGGATATTTATTACTCTGTTTTTTATATAAGCGCCTCGGTGGCGCACTGGTTAAATTGCAGTACTGCAGGCTACTTCTGCTGACTGCCAGCTGACTGCAGTTTGGCAGTTCGAATCTCCCCAGGCTCAATGATGCAGCCTTCCATCCTTCTGAGGTGGGTAAAATGAGGACCCAAGTTGTTGGGGGCAATAGGGTGACTCTGTAAACCGCTTAGAGAGAGCTGTAAAGCACTGTGAAGTGGTTTATGTCTAAGTGCTATTGATATTTGTATTTTATTTCTATACACACACACACACACACACACACACACACACACTACTGTTGTGCATCACCCAGAGTCACAGTTCATGAAATATGCAGCTATATAAATGTGATAAATAAATAAAAATTAATAAATAAACAGCTGCAGTGCAGGACTTCCAAAGCTCCAGATCTTGGGCTGAACATTGGAATCAGAGCCACTTTCCCTGAGAGTGGGTTGCCCTGTCTCCTTCATTTTTCCCCCTGGCTCCCACCATTGAATTTTCAGCTTTAACTCCGACTGTACTTGCATTTGAATGTCTTTTCAAGGAAACTTCAGTGTTTTCTTTTGCGTAACTATTTTTATAAATAATGAGGTTGGCCATTCTGAGAGGCAGGCTGGCCAGCAGCCGATAAATAGTTAATGGAACAAAATAAAATTTAAGAAGGATTTTTTTCTCAGATAAGAAAAGACATTTAATAACTCTGGATGCTTTTGCTCATAACAATTCCATAGCTGTGGTCTGCAGCCCCCCAGGGGCTTGGCACACAGAGCTGTACTTGGCAGGCTTCCCTGTAGATTCACCAAATCTGAGTCAACCATGGTCAGTTGCAGGCCTGCACAGTTTTAGCAATTCATGTAAAGTCAAGACCCTTGAAAAGAAGGGAGATGACTGGTTTGGGCATGTGGGAGTTTCCCCATCATTCTGGGAAAATGTGTGTGTGTATGTGTATCTTAGACTTAAAATAGACCATTCAGAAGACTGAAGTTAGATATAATTTCAGAGTATGTTTAGTTCTCAATTTACCTGTTAGTCTCTATCAATATACTTGTTCCCAAAATAAATCTGATGTCAGAAATGGATTAGGAAACTGGAAGAACATATTGATTTTGTAGGACAGTGCCACTGAGCTTCACGTGTGTTGTTACTTTAAGCCACACGAGGCAGATATGCCTTAAACTGTGAAGAAACTAAGCTACTGTTTAAGATATAATATATCTATGTCCTGTGGCTTAAGACATTGGGTTGGGTTGGTAAGTATCATGCTATATGGGTTAATCAGCTTAATAGTGTAAAGAAAGATTATACCCCCAAATTGTTTTGTCTGATAACCACTATTGGTTAGACCAGGGGTGTCAAACTCAAGGCCCAGGGACTGGATCCAGCCCAAAGGTTGCTTAGATCTGGCCTGCGGGGCCAACCTAGAAACAGTGAAGGAATGGCCTGCAGTGCCTCTGCCAGAGAAAATGGAGCTAGGGAGAGTTGCATGCAGCCCTCCTGAGCTCCATTTTCACTGGCAGAGGGTTGCAGGAGGCTGTCGCAGCCAAAAACGGAGCTCAGGAGCCCATTTTCTCTGGCAGAGTGCTCAGGCCACCACAGACGCCCCCAACTCAAGTGACGTAGAGCTGTCCACGCCCATCCTATGGCCCCCTGAAGTCAAACACAACCCTGATGAGGCCCTCAATGAAATTGAGTTTGACACCCCTGGGTTAGACAATTATTATTAAATATATTCTATATTTAATTTCCTTACAGAATCATAGAATGGAAGTCTTGAAAGAAATCTGGGGAAATCAAATTCACAAAATGTACATAATTTCATTTCAGCAGATCTTAGAATTCATCTGAATTCTATTGCATGTCTACAGCAGAAACCACTGGTTAAAGTATTAAGTTTACACTAATTGATCTACCATTTCTGTACAATAGTATTGCCACTGCATTTGCAAATGTGAATTTTGGGATCGAAGTCAAAGCTTTTGACAATCAAAACCAATGAATTCTACTCAAAATTCAGGACTTGGGTCTATTAACCAAGGATGGAAGGAGGAACACATTTATTTGTTTTATTATTTATTTATGGTATCTGAAAAGGCTCCAGAGGAGTGGGGCAGAGAGAAAAGATCCATTGATTACTTGGTAAAAGTCAGATCTCAGCTTTTGGCTCATAATACCTGACATGTAACTATGCCCTTCTGACATAATGTCTAGCATATTTTTTTAAATTATCCCAAAATTTAATATGGAAAGTAATCCTTTAAAAAAACATGAAATAGCTATTTGCTGGACCTAAATTTTAGGGAAACATAAATGCCTCTTCTACAGTTGCGGAATTTCCTATTCCTTAAAATAAGATAGGCATGATTTCAATTGCAAAAATTATGTGGACATAATACTATATTTAACTAAATCAAAGCAAAACAGACATCTTTGGATGAGATTCTTTCTACTCCTACACCACAATTGTGTCCCCCTCCAACCTCACCCAATACTGCTCCAGAAGGTTACTTACTCTTTCCAGAACTAGACTGGAATCTTATCTCTATTTGTGCAACTTTGGATGGTATTCATTTTATATGTATTTAAGTAATACTGTAGTCATATCTACAAAACTGTGAAACTAATTGCACAAATGCAAGGGAGTTTTATTCTACTCAGTATAAGCATCTCAGAATTCAGTGCTACTGGCTTATTGCCAATTGTTCTTAGAATGCATAAGACTTTGATTTCTTCTGATTTCTAAATCCTCATATTGCATAGCAACACTGCAACTCTAGGGAGTCATTGAAGCATCAGCCTTTGCAACCCAGATCACTGTTTGGAACAAGAATTGTATTATTGTTGTTATTTTCAATATTTGTTTAAAATAGTCTTTTCAACATCTTCATCCATTTCAAATCGTAAGGTGGGAGAGAACTTAAGTAAGACATAGCCCACTGGAATAGTATCATGTATTTACGGGATTATTTTTCTTGGCATGCAGTTTAGGCTTTACATGGGATGCGGCTGAAACCAGATTAGCTTCTAGTGCTAATGAATACTCACTAAGAATTTGCTAGTCCTGATGAGTCATTGTATATGCTTACAAGTTTGTTATTTTAGTGTAATGATGCAAATTCTACAGATTGTTCCAACACTCCTCTAGTATTCTCTATTTAAGAAAGAACAACTGTGAGCACTTATTTTTAGAATTTGCTCTGCAGCTGCTTCCAAACAGTGTCCACATTCCATGTGCTTCTCCAGTGTGTAGAAATATGTTGTGTCACACTGATCTAAAGCTTTGTGCAACCTTTCTCTATTTCAGCTTTGGTTTGCATTCGTTAATGGATTCTCTGGGCAGATTTTATTTGAGCGCTGGTGCATTGGGCTCTACAATGTGGTAAGTGTTCTCCCCCCTCCACCTCCACTGGATAACAAGCCAAACTGGGAATAACATTCCATGCCTGTTCATGTCTGTGCAGTTTATTTCATCTGATCCTTTCCATTGGGCTATTTCACTTGGGCTTACTGGCCAGTAGGCCTGAACAAAAATAGAAAGATTTTGTTTTTATTCCTGATCTGAAATAATTCCTTAAAAATTTAAATAATTCTTTAAACCTAGCAAATGCCTCCACAATTTATGGCCAACCAAGTCAAAGTGGTCCCATCAACTTTCAACAGACTTGACAATCGCTCAGGAGACAACAGGGTATGGTTCAATTGTCTTTAGAATAGAATTCTACTTTCATTCTAAAATAGGACACAGTTCAGATACAGCAGAATAGTCTCCTTTCCCAGGGTCAGAGACTGCAGTCACATGGAACAGCCGCAGTTGAGGTCACCAGAGAGTGGAATTTTCACAGAAGTGAGCAAAACTAATCGGGAGGATGGATGGATTTCAAGAGTTGGAATAGAAGTGGCAAACCATGGTTTGCCTACTCCTTAGATAGAGAACTGGCTCTTGAGAGCATTTTAATAGAGGATATGCAGTCATTTTCTCTGATATGTCACTATACATGCTGATGGCTCATCTTTACTAGCTGAGTCAGCTGTTGTCACATAATTATCACATAGCTATCCTGATGTTTTAATAATATTATTTTAATATTTAATAAGCAATCTAATTTAGTTGATATGACCCCACTCATTGGAGAAGACACTGGAGACACGACATTTCGTCATGCTTGATTAGTTCATGATTAGACAAGGAAAATCACCCATTAAATGTTATTATCAGTCTCAAATAAGCCTAACCCAAAACTAATCTACCAAATTTCCAGTATAAATATTTACCATCATAAATATATTTCGTTCAACACTAATTAAAAAAACAATATCCCCAGAAAAGATGAAAATACTGCCTAATTCTAAGATTCTCATGCAATTTTTCTAAAACAAAGGAAGAATAACACTAACACTAAATGGTAATCCAGATATTTGGTATCCTTCTATATTCAATATTAATTTATCTACCACAAAACATTAAAAATGTTCAAGTCTGATTAGTAAATATTACCATTAACCTCGAGGAATCTCAGCTGCCCTATATATTAGAATAAACATTCAATCCCATCCTCCATCTACACCTTAAAACGTAAGATTACTTTTAATGATAAAAGTTAACCCTAAATCTGATGCAATTCCCAATTTTACTACCAGATCCAAGAAATCCTAATTCTTCCCCTAATCTGCCCCCCAAAATGACAAATATTTAAACCAAGAATCACTCACCACTCTATAGAAGCTTTAATTTAAGCTTAACAATGTTTTGATTGAATGTGTACCACTTAGTTGATGTCAACATAGATAGACTTGCTTCATGACAATCACTCTGTCAACTAGTATTTCAGATCTTCCAATGATGCACGCATCACCATGAGCCATGGTGGCGCAGTGGTTAGAATGCAGTACTGCAGGCTACTTCTGCTGACAGCCAGTTGACTGCAGTTCGGCAGTTCAGTTCTCCCCAGCTCAGGGTTAACTCCGCTCAAGGTTGACTCAGTGTTCCATTCTTTCAAGATCAGTAAAATCAGGACCCAGATTGTCAGGGGCAATATACTGACTCTGTGAACCACTTACAGTAGAGAAGACTGTAAAGCACTGTGAAGTGATTTATAAATATAAGTACTGTTGCTATCACTACCATAAGTGAGTCCATCCACTTTGCTGTTGGGCATTCTCTTTTTCTCTTTCCTTTCCTCTTTCCAAGCATTGTAAGCTTCTCTAGAGTCCTGGGTCTGATGTATAACATAGTGTCTGAAGTATGATAAACTGAGCTTCATAATTTGCACCTCAAGTGAAAATATCTGGGTTGATTTGTCTACTAATCCATTTGTTTGATTTTTTTAACTAAACATAAAATTTAAAATGAATCATTCATTCATTCACTGTAACTAATCTCCATATCTCTTATCTAAGGATTCACCTTATGCACAGAATGTACATACTGGATTTTACTATCAGCATCAAGGAAGCATTAATGTATTCCTATCTTTATGTAAATGCCAGTATAAATATTCAACCTAAAAGATGCACAGTTCTAAAAGCACATATTACATTTTTCCACTAGTGTCAAGGAAGCAGAATTTTAAACCTAACCTCAGAAATGCCATTTTAAATATTTAATACAATACTCTCTCCACACTTGTACCTCATCCCATGTAAATATAAGGCTACAATTAACTATTTAAAAAAAACTGTTCGGGATTAGAATAGTAGATATTAAATATTCCTCAAGGAAGCTGAACCCTAAGACTAACTTCTACAGAATACCAAAATTCAAAAATTAAAGGTAGCTTAATGTAGGGGTTCCCAACTCTCAGGCCTCAGACTGATGGCCTGTTAGGAACCGGTTCGCTCAAGCATCAGGCCAATGAGCGAAACAAACCTCTTCAGCACATGCCCAAATCTAGGTTGTACACAAAACCATCCCTGGCCCATAGAAAAATTGTCTTCAACAAAACTAGTCTCTGGTGCCAGAAAGGTTAGGGTTAGGGTTAGACCACTGGCTTAAGGTGTATTCTGAATTGCCTTATTAGCCGTTGATTCAGAGGCCTCTTTTTTATTTTTTATTTCATTGAATGGAAATCACGGGACACTTTTCTTCAGTTGCAGCCTTCTGCTTTGCTATCCAGTGTCGGGGTTCCAAGTAATAAATCCATTGCAAGCAACACTCCAAAGCAGGTGAATTCCTCAAAGAATAGCTTTTTGGAAATATCATATTGGCACATATCTGGTGAAAACTAACTCTGAAGGGCCCCTTGGTTTTTCACCTAAATAAAAGTAAAAAAGAAATTCCCTCAACCCCAAACAATCAGTCACCTGGCCCAATCACTGCAGCATCCACTGGTCTGGTGACATCACTCCTCTTTCATTCGGCCAGGTGTGAGAATGTCCTTGGTTCCCAGGAGAAAATCTTGAGAAAGTATTTTATTTTGACTACACAAGCCCAGCTATCTCTAATCGCCCCTCCCTATCCCTCGCTCCAGTGTGGCAACACTGAAGCTCCAAGATGGCTTCACCCTGGTCAGCTTCAGGGTTGACATCCAGCACATTATGATTAAAAACTTATCTGCTTCAGGCATCTAACTTAGATTCAGCACAACTGAATTTAGTAAAGCTGGTGGTGTGGATTTTAACAATGTCGGGATTCTTTCCAGGTATGACGTATCCTTTTCAACTTGCTTATAAAGTTAATGGGCTGTTATTTTTAATTACTGCCTTTGTTTTTTCTAGATTTTCACAGCATTACCTCCCTTCACCTTGGGAATCTTTGAACGATCGTGCTCGCAGGACAACATGCTTAGGTTTCCCCAGCTCTACAAAATTACTCAAAATGCTGATGGGTTCAATAGCAGGGTAAGAGGCAATGTTTACCTAGAGGGAAGGATTAAAAACAACAGGGCTATAATAGCTTAAAGCTGAAATTTTAATTTACAGCTGCTATTTCAGATTGAACACCCTGAAATGATTAATCCTTAAAGTTCATCCTTAATAAATGCTGGGTCTGGTAATGGTAGTAAATCAGCTTCCAGTTGTGATTCGTGATCATGGCACACTCAGTTGTGGTTTATCTAAAATGAAAGAAGATATTTACAATCACCTCACAGCCCTAACAGAAAAGAAGGCCTGCATGGTAGAAAAAAAAACAATGTTTATGTTTTTTATGGTTCATGAAAATTCAGATTATGGGGGAAGATTACATGCAAAACAATCCTATCAGAAAATACTAATATAATTATATATCTAGTAAAGAGTAAGAATTAAAAGGCTCTGAAAAAATAGACAAAGAAGTATCATTATAGCTCAGGGTCTCAAACTCAAGGCCTGCGGGCCAAATTCGGCCCTCGTGGTACTTAAATCTGGCCTGTGGGCCTGGCCTGGAAATAACAAAGGCAGTCAGTCCATGTGTGATCCCCACAGCCCATTTTGCTTGGACAGCCTCCTCCAACACCCTGCCACCAAAATGGGGCACGGGGGGCATGTGCAGCCTCCGTAACCCATTTTTGGCCTGGACTGCCTCTGACAGCACTTTGCCAGCCAAAATATTTTGACCAGCAGGGTGTTATTTGGGTCGGCAGGGAGTACATCCTGTCTCCCCCTCCCCCCACTCCTGTGGCTGGCCCGCAGAGGAGAACTACAATGCTGATCCAGCCCTCATTTGACACCTCTGTTATAACTAAATGCGTCATCAACAAAAATGGATTGGGGCAACTCGCTGCAGCCATCTTGCTGCAGCCAACTCACCATGGCCAACTTGCCATAGGATAACTCATTACCTGACAATTCAAAAAATACAAAAGTTAAATTAATTTCAAAGGAACTTTGGCCAATAATAATAAAATAAAGAAGTCAATCCAGAAATCCAAGAGTTACAATAATTTTGATGTAAATGTGGTTACTGATAATAAAAGTATCTGAATGAAATTATTAATACAGCATTGAATTGTCCCAGGATGAGTTGTCCCAAGGCAAGTTGGCCATGCCATATTGTCTCTGGCTAGTGGGTCATGGCAAGTGGGTCATAGCCAGTTGGCAATGGTGAGTTGGCTATGATGAGTTGTCCTAGATCCCACTGAAAAAGGCCTCTTCCTCATAAACATCTCGATTTTGCAGAGGGGGGTTAGTTGCAAAAAATAACCAGCTAAAAATCTTAATGGATACAGGTTAACAATCCAAGTTCCATATCATTAGCTATGAAAGACTGTCAAATGTCAGAAACAACACAACCACAACATTCTATACTGACATTTCTATCTGGAAATTCCAAATGATCTCACAGTACCAACAAGCCCATATTAAAAGACAATGAATGTCATCAAGCATTAAGTTGAGCAAGACCATGTTAACAAATAACTCATGTAGAAATCCAGTACATTACTCCCCGGTCAGTGCTGTCAGAGTTTGGGTTCCCAAAATAAGAAATACTCAAATCCATGTAGACACCTCCATTTAAGAATAGGTTGAGCTTTCTTGTACCGAGGAAATGCAATTTATATATTCATGCTTATATCTTTCTTATTTTTAAAGGCAGCTCAACCCTAGGAATAGGTACAAAATTTATGATAGTGTTTGGAATAACCTAAACTTTGAATATTAACTTCTAAGAGCTGGTTCTCATTATCTTTTGAGCCACGGCAACTAGACTGTCTACAACATTGGCAGTATTTTGGCATCCAGCTGCAACAGGGTATAAAAAAAAGTCTGCTTCATTTAGTATGTTGAATTGGCAGGAGTTCTGCTTGCTAATTCCTTCCAAAGGATGATGACTCTCACTGGATGAAGTCCCCGCTTCCCTGCTGCAAGTTGAAAAGGTCAGGCATAGGGTTCCAAATTGGAATATTAGCCATATACGTTTATAAGAGCCTCTATGCTTGCGTATGAATTAATCAATATCATTGTGTTCTTTGCAACAAGTTCCAACAGATTTGATACTTGGCGATGAAATGTTCCCACACTTTTACCAGTTGCCTTTTCACCACTTCCTCTCCAGAGATTCTAGGAAAAATATTGAGATGACTTTATTGTTCCCTTCAGGTTATAGGTTTAAAAAGATGTTTCAGGGAGATACGCAGGTAAAGTTACACTTAATATTTTCTTTTCATATTTTGGAGAATTTCCTCCATTCTCAGTTTTCATGTTTTATTAACCTACTCTGTCTAATAAAACTTCAGCACTTCAGAGCTTAAAGGACAGAAAAGGTCTAAGATTGTGCTGGAGGTTTTAAGATTTCAAAAGATTATATTTTTTTTCATGTGGGATCTTAATGAACTTAAGCATAGCATAAGAAACTTTGAGGACTGGGTTTTGTTGTTTTGCATGTATCTTTCATCATCCTATTATTACAGAAATAAAGAGTAAACAGGATTGTTTTGAATTTTGCTGAATATCTGAATTAGTTGCCTGGTCACTTTATTTTTACATAGCAATGTTTGTTTTAGAATGTATTCAAAAAATCAGATGATCAACGTGATTAAAAATATTACTGAATATAGTGAGTGATTTTCAAACCTCAGCAAATTTAGGAAATAAAATTTTCATCACTGCAACAAGGTAAAACTAAGTTGTTTCTCTCCCTAGATTTCAAGGGAAAAATTGCTTGAATTATAAAGCAGATGGCAATTTCTGAGAAGGAATGGTTGTCAGGAAGTGGGGATAAAATAAAAGAATTAAATGTAACACAAAAGAGAGAGAATGGAGATGGAAGGGAACAAGGACAACTGTTTTCTGCTATTATTACAGTATTATATTAGAAAGTGCCCTCACCAAACACTGCCCTCCTTGTGTGGAAAGGGGAAAGGAAAAATACTCATCCTACAATTATCAACTCACACAAAAAGTTCATGAATGAGTAAAATATTTGAATATGTCAAGGGAAAGTTGAAAATCCAACCCTACTTCTTTCTAATTTGCCTTTGTTTTTATCTATCTATCTTCTCTCTCTCTCTCTCTCTCTCTCTCTCTCTCTCTCTCTATATATATATATATATATATATATATATATATATATATAT